CTATTCCAAACAGGATAATTGCACAGTAAATCTTGCACTATTTTAATACTATAAGGCATGTCTGGCAACTAAGTAAACCCGTTTTAGTAGAGACAAAATGGATCTATGTGCTTAGCCTTTTTTTAGCAAATAAAAAATCATTAATGTCTTAGGAATCCAAATAGGGGATCCAATGCATGGGACATGTGAGGTGTCACCATCCGGTTGCATGATGCACTGTTCATGAACAGTGCATCATGCAACCGGATGGTGACACCTCACATGTCCCATGCATTGGGTCATTGTAGCAACACCTATAAAAAAAATACAAAGTAAGCAAGTTTTTCCTGAGGTCCACTACTGCTCAATAACTAGACTATAAACAAACCAAGTCTCCTCCGGACTAAAAGAGAACAAGTGCAAATAGAGTCTAGTATAAAAATTAGCCAATATGAGTTTAAATTAGCATTAGTTCAATAAAGTCTAGTTTAGCCTAATTTAGGTCAATTGATGCGAGTTCAAAGTTGATCTAAGTTATTTTCAAAGTTGTGAAACGGGTCTCAACTACAAAGTCCTCATTGTACATCGGTTAACATCACATAATAAAGAATAATGATCATTATATTGTAAATATTATACTATTTTATTACTACAAAACATAAGCATACCATTAAAGATTCAAATTTGTCATTTATAAATAGCAATGCAAGAGTGTACAAACTATGTAATATAGTAAAAGTTAATGGTTAACGCATTGCGTGAAGATACAAAGAAATGCCCATAGCCTTTGCTTCAGGCTTTCACAATAGTACGGCAAAATCACTTCCTCACACGTGTAAATGTGTTGACCAAAGTGCCCACACACCCAAAAGTAAGTATGTTCGCCACTCTCTTTTTTAAAATGTCGGCATGAGAGGACAAAATATTCAGCATGCACTGTTCTTTGTTGTGTGACTTGCGTCCACATTGCACCCAATTTATCCTTTGACTTTATTGGACGACTTGTTTCGCAGTGATAAAAGTACAAAACCAATCTTAATATCTTTCAACTGTTAGAAATGATAGCGAGATTCCTTGAGCGAGAGCTTCCATCATCTTTCATGTTTAAATAGTGAGAGGTTTAATTTCACATAAGCCCTATGCAGTTTATAGCACTTATTGTTACTGGCTTTGACTTCAATACATACTAGCAAATACATCTCCTCAGTAAAAAAAAAAAAAAAAGACTCTTTCACTAGGATGGGTTGCATGCTTTTGTTTTTTTACAAACTAATATAATGAACGTGTAAAATAACGTACATGTTTTATGATTTGAATTTTTATTGAATGGCAAAACTTTGTGTTAATAAATAAAATTGTATAATAAAATTACTTTAAAAATATATGAATTAATTATTACTGCGTTATTATTATAATTAAATGTTTTTCTTATAATGACATTTTTTAATAAGTCCCTCAAATCTAACATTATTCTTAAATAAAACTGTAAATTCTATAACTTTTCTTAAATATGCCCCTCTAGCTTGAAAGTTGTTAGCTTAATTCTAAATTAACTAAGCTGCATGAACCTAACTAGGTTTTTTATAATTTTCCTTAGTTATACTTAATACCTGCAATATATTGTAATAGTTACTTCTCATTATAATTATCTAATTGAGTAAATCACACTAAACCCTTATGAACTTTCTGCATCTATGAACTTTTCAAATCACACTAAATTCCTAATGATTTTTTTTTCAAAAAAACCCTTAATAATTTTTTAATTTTTGCAGATAACCCCCATAAATTAGAACCGTAAAAGCATAAAAAGGCATTTTGAAAGTTATTAGGGTTCGGTGTAATTTATCTAAAAGATATAGAGGGTTTTCTACAAAAGTTATTTGGGGTTTAATGTGATTCTGAAAGTTCATATAATCTATTTACTGCAAAATACTAAAAATTTATGAGGGTTTCCTGTAGTTTACCTTATTTAATATTATAATTGTTAGTTCAAGTAATACTATTAAAATAACTATACTGGCTATATACTATAAAATATTTATCTAATTTAATTTTTTAATTATCCTCTTAAATAATTTAGTATTGCAAGTATTTTATAAAATTTTATTATACTATCATTAACAATTAATAGTACTATTGTTAAGATTAAGTATTTTTTAATAAAATAATTAGTTTTCAATCATTACCAAGTATAGATTATTTAGTATCATGTAATAATCTTTGAGAAAATACTCTAAAAATAACATTAAATTATTTATTTAATTTACTTAATATATAATACTAAGTAAATAGTATAATTCATAATTCATGTGATATTATTAATATAATTATACTATTTATGCGATTAAATATTTATTTTATTGCTCCTTGAATTATAGTATAATTCTCAATAGTATTTAGTAATATTATTCTATTTATACTATTATTTTAATTATTTTATTATAATTCATAAATAATAATTTAATTGGTTACTACTAATAATTGTGTATACTTATTTTATAAATATTTTATTATATTATTTTTAAACAATTAATAGTCATAATATTATTAAAAATTATAATTATTTTGGAAAGTGAGAAAGTGCATAATTAATAAGAAATTATATTTATTTAATAAAAGATTTATTAGAGATAGTGGTATAGTTAGAATTCATTAAAATTGAGAGCGCCAAAAAGAAAATTAAAAGTTTAAACGCGCAAATACTCTTTTTATAGTAGTATGGACATAGATATAGATAGATCCATGAAGGTAAAATGGTCAAAATATTTCGTCTCGGATCAAACTCAAAAGGTATAGTAAATGGCGCAATGCGATGTTTAACGGAGGATTTACGTGCAATTTACTTAAATATATACCCACTGTAGTACATCGAAACTAATAGAAGGCTTCTTAATTAATCCTTGAGAAAGGGCCCTGATTGAAGGTTGTTACTTTTAACCATTAGGTCCTAATGATTGAAATTCCCTACATCAGATAGCACAAAGATTCCCTTCAAAGTTTAGACAGCATATATACTAATTAATCACATAAAACCTATAATATGTGACCACATCCAACCAATTATTGACTCTTCAAATTCTCCACACGAACAAAAAGAAACCATAAATTTTGGGAGGGGACAAGTAGCTACGCATTCATTCATTCGTTAAATAAGTGAAGAAGATAGCTGGACAAGCATAAAACCATGCATTGCGGCGCTATGTTCCCCCAATTGATGATATGAAGCACAGTTACTCACGCGGTTAGTTGACCCGTACACACACACTTTCAAGCAATCCCTAAACCCAAAAAGGTTTATAATTCAAAGCCCAAATCTTCTATATTTCTATTATTAGAGCCCCAGTTTTTAATATTTCTAAATTAGACACTCAAACCCTTTAAGTCGTTTTAAAAAGAAGACCCCTAATTAGATTTAATCTTAATTCATTAAATTTCTATGTTAATGTTAGAGATATTGATCTAATGAACCGTTTTAATGCATTTTGAATGAGTTATGTTATTCTCCAACTTCGCAGTTTCTCTCAACTCCCCATATCCACCGTTCAATCTACATTCCTTTTTCTTTTTGGATTCTTCAAACTTACTAGGGTTTGAGATTTTGCGAGGAAAATAGACTAAGGAATTATAGAAAACAGGAGAGGAGAGGCATAAGATTTAGGAAACAAAGGTAGATAGAAAATGTGGTTTGAGTTCCTAATGGCGACAAATCGTAATTTATCCTATAGGGTTAAGAGTTAACCATGTTTAGTTAAACAATTTGGAAGGAAAAACCTTCATAAGGTCCTTCTCAAAACAACTTACAGAAATTGAGGGCATTATCTCGGAATACTAAGATTTGGAGGTTTATATAGAAATATTGAAGATTCAGTGGTCTCGACTCTTAAATCACAAACACCCATCCAAAAATTGCTGGAATCTTTATATCTACGGCCAAAAGAAAGAGAAAAATGCCCTCTTCAATTATCTTTTAATTGGACAATGAACATTCATATGTCAGGTTGGTGTTTACTGCTTAGGTTGAACAGAGGAAACCCAGCTCTGAACCGAAAACCAATAATCTAACTACCGCGACACTACAATACAAACACGATCTCTTCATCAGATTCTTGGTACTTGCATAATCAAGAGTATCCTATCACAGCAAACACTAGATACCTTCATCCCCAATAAAAGCGAAGTGATTGACCAAATCAACCTACCGCAGGAGTTCCAATTTTTTGAGCTTTTGGCTAAAAATCCAAAATCTCTAGGAAAAAACGTAGGTTAGGATTCTCACATAATCTAATGCTGAACAAACACAAGATAATAGCAGCAGAAAAGAACAATAAAACCAAGTCCTCAGATAGTTAAGCTGCGTACAATTTTCACATGTTATTATGCATTACATATTAACAATATCGTTCATGGAAAATTTGAACAGCCATATGAAGGGGAAATATGAATAATTTATTCACTCCCCTAAGGTTCTTGCATTTGAGATCCTGAAAGAGAGCTTTTTGAATTTTTAAATTTCATTCATGCATTTATTTATGCATGTAGAGTAATAATGTCAAGCATATTTCAAAACATTCAATCACCTATCCCACTCCCTCGTATACATATATAACTTTGTAGTCAACCAAAAAACTAAGATCAAAGATTATTCATGTAAAATACAATATTTAATGGAAACTAGCACCTACACAAACAGAGCATGAACATAAATATCTTATACATGTAACATATTATTTTGGTGTATATGTCTCCTCAGGCATACGGACAATGGAAACCAAATTGTTTTAAGAATCCACGTTGACTGATGTAATAAGAAAACACCATATTCATGGTGCAAAACTACAGACGACTACAAAAGTACATAAACTAAAATTTGAAATTTGTCCCTTTATTTTGTGCTTTGTTTTAAATTACATATATTAAATATCATTAAAAAAATCTCAAGATAAACAATAGTTCAGAGAGATATTAGGCATGATGTATAAATACAAAATTGACCAGCATACCAGGAACAAATTGAAGACTACTTGAAAGTAACAGCAAATGTAATAGATCTATTGGTATCAAATATGGAATGTTACATGAACCAGTCATGGCATATATACCAAAAGAGATGCAAGTTTGAATCTTAAATGAACTGGTCATGGCATATACCAAAATGGAAGCAAGTTTGAATCTTACATGAATCAGACATGAACCTGGTAAGTCGTCATCTCCAATCCAAACATGAACTCTGCACATCGAGCATCTAATCAAGCAATTGCGGAAAATCATAGTTACCCTGTTTCAGCATATAAACTAAAACAATGATAAATATATTATAAGTCAGACAAATTTGAACCCTTCAGAGTGGTTATTGTTAAAAGATTCAGTACCAACAACCAAGTTCACGCAGATTAAAAAAAAAACATGTGCTGCATCTTTTGTTTGTCAAAACTACATTAGAGATGGGCACAGAATTCTTCGCCTTTCACTATTCCATGAAACACATACGCAGGGCTGTGCGCGCGCGTGCATATAGACATATATTTGAAGATACTAGGTGGAATGCACGTGCACTGCACGTGGTCAAATATCATAATTATTTACTTTAAGTTTATTTATTTACTATAACATGGTTGCATAAAATGCTATAATTATAATGATATATTAATTTTTTTTTGGATATTTCCATGTGTGATTTTTAACATTTTGTCTTCCAAAAAAATAGTGATATTTAAACCCTTAAAATATTAATGATTTAAAACTAATTAATATTTTGAATGTATAATTTCAAAATATTAATGATGTAAGGGACCAATACGGAAAAAGCCTACTATTATTAAAAATAATAAAAAATTCTTGAATTCATCATAGAAAATGATAGGTTTTATCTAGTCAAGGATTTCATTCAGTTATAAAAAAAACACTTCCACATGTTATTTACTTCCACCTATTGTTTATTTGGCGATAGAGTGTTATAGATATTCAAGAACTTTTTTCTAGAATTTTATAAGTTAGAATGTGCAAATTCAATCAAGAAAGAAAATATAAATTATGTGATCAATTCCAAAATCTAATGCTAAGTTAGAATGTGCAAATTCAATCAAGAAAGAAAATATAAATTATGTGATCAATTCCAAAATCTAATGTTGTACTCTTTTTACATCTTCCCAAGAAAGAAAATATAAATTATGTGATCAATTCCAAAATCTAATGTTGTACTCTTTTTACATCTTCCCAACTACTAATTGATCTGTCAAAACGATTACTCTCTAGTTTTAGAAAATCATAAAATATAGTTTAAGAATGATTTATACATATTATGCACTCATCTTAATTGTATTTTAACAAAACAATTCATTTCTATCCAATATCAAACAACATTAAAAAATTTAGCTTAAGGACTTAGAAGAATACAATATCTATAATAATATTTATATCCATGCTCTGAGCTTCATAAACTTATAAGAAGGTGAACAATATAAAATGACAACTTAATTTATTTTGTCAAATAATTTATTACAAATCATGAAAGACAAGGGGAATCAAAAGGATCATATACCCATCCTAAATAAATATTACATTGCTTTTAGAGATTCTTATAGCAAAAAATTTTCAAAGTTGATTTGTAGGACAAACTTAAGGAAAAATAACCCAGACCAGTTCATTGAGTGATAAACTTACTATAAACTCCACTCTTATAAAATTGACGTCACACATGTCTTAACTTGTGCTTTTATTTAAAGGTTAATTTTAGAAAACACCCCCTCAACTATGGGGCATCATCAATCCTCCCCCCCCCTCCTCCCCCACCACACACACACACTATTTAAAACTAAGTAAATCTCCGACAAGTTTTGGGTGTTTTGTAGATAATCTATCTCAACTTAAAAAATATTGATTTAACCCTTATGGACTTTTCTCACTTAAACCTAACCTCTCAAAACTAATATCGTCAAGTCTGATCTATTATGTGACAAGTATTTGACTTGAAAAGGCCAAATATCAATCAATCATAAAAGAGTTACCTTAATTTTTGCCATATGAAGAAAAAAGGTGATATAGAGGAAAAAAGAATTGTAAATTGGTTGTGGTCATTTTATTATTAGTTAAGGATTTATTTTTAATTAAAATTGCTTTCTTCAAGAGGGTATTTTGTTCAAATCACATACTGATGTAACTATGTTAATGAGGTTTGTTGATAGAAGTGTTAAAGATTATGGGTATTTTTATGAGACACGTTATAGTTGAGAGATTTTGTCTACAAATTGCACCAAAATTAAGAGGGTTTATCTATGACACCCCCCATAACAAGGAGGTTTTGTCAAACTGAATCAATTGAGTGGTTTTTTAAGATAATCCCCATAGTTGGGAGGTTTTTTAAAAAATTAACTCTTTTTTTAAATATGACTTATTTATAATTTGTCCCTCAAAATTTTAATAATTTAATATTAGTCCCTAAAATTATGAGTAATTTCAAAAATTTGAGGGAATAATATAGAATCATTGGATACTTAACATCAAGGAACTAATATCTAAATAACCTTTACTTATTTGCACTTATAGGCATTCTATTAAATATCGGCCAATATATTGCTATATCGACCAATATATCGGGTTAAAGACTTTATCTTGGTAATATTTTTATATTGTTTTCTTTTATTTGGTGATTTTTTTGATATGTCGACCGTCGTTGAAAATGTAGCCAATATCCCTTCGAAGATATTGAGAAAATCATGTCATTTTTAATTTGATTGTGGGCTCAGGTTCGGATTGTGTTTGGGAAGCAAAGTCGGAACCCATAAAACCCACAAAGGACATTTCTTCTCCCAAATCTCTCCACTCTCGGCTCTCCCAAATCTTAAGCATATATGTCTTGATGCAAATTCTTATGTTTAAAATTTATTAATATGTTAGATTATATATTACAATGTCATCTTATGTATGAATATTATCTCATATGACACCTAATATTACATACATATTCCTGATTTTTGCAATCCGATATCACGGATTTTATTTGTTCAATATTTATTTGATGTCCAACATTTTATAGTAGTTCTTCAAAAGTCTCTTCTAAATTTTTCTAAGCGAAGTATATAATTTCAGGAAATTATTCAAAATCTTGGAACTCATTCAAAATATAATGCTTTAATTTTTTTTCACATCTCCTCTACTATATAAATATAAGCTAAGCATCTGGCTTTATATTGTATGATAAATATTATTTATCAATGAGATCATATACTACTGTTTGTGGATAACAAATGTTTCAAATACCTTGTTGTTTACCAAAATTATACTTATATACCTCCACTTGTATCTTGCTGTATTTTTTTTAATTTTAGATAATGTATCTTGCTGCACTTAAATATCTTAATTTTTTCTAAAACTTAATGTTTGTACATTTTGTCCTGTTACCTAAACATAAAAGTGCTCTTTGTAATTTTTCTATATGAGTTTCATGGTATAATTTTAGGATAGTTCTATGTTTTCTACACTTTCTATAAATAGTTTATTGACATGCAATTATCTATTAATATATTATTATACATTACTAATAATTAATATGATGTATAGTTTTACAACAATAGAAGTTTTAGGGACCAAATTATACAGACTTGAAGTGACATATAATATAATTAATTAACAATGATAATTAATTTAGTTTAGTTAGTATTAAAATATAATATCAAAAAAGAATAGGGGTAATATAGACATTGAAAAGTTTTTCCGCAACTCCCTCTTTTAAAGGGAGTATAATTAGAGGATCTCATAATAAAATTTCTCATTGATTAATAATATCTATCTATAAATCTAAGTCGGAATCCGATACTTCTTAAAAAATAAAAAACCAAACTAGTTGCATAAAATAACACAAACTTTATTCAAAGTCTAACCTCAACTAGTCATAATGTACGAAGAGGTAGCACTGGTATATACAACAACAAAGTCTCTATCCTAAGTGTTTGAGGTTGGCTACATGAATCATATTCTTTCATTCTGTTCTATTATGGTCATCTCCTCTGTTAAGCTAATCATAACTATATCCTTCTTAATTACTTCCAACCAAATCCTTTTAAGTCTACCTCTAAATCTCTTTTCTCCATTAACTATAATATTATCACTTCTCCTAACCGGTGCACTAAGAGATCTACGTTGTACATGACAATACCACCTTAATCGATTCTCTCTCATTTTATCCTCTATAGGAGCAATCTCTAATTTATTACGGATGATGCACTCATTTTTTATCCTATCTTTTAATGTATCCACAAAGTCATCTCAACATTCTTATATCCGCGACACTTATTTTTCACGCATGTTGTTTTTTAATTGCCCAATATTTTAATCCGTAAAACGTTGTTGGTATTATAACTGTCCTATAGAATTTTCCCTTAAGTCTAACAAGTATATGGATTGTGAAAATCACAAAAGAAAATGACTTTGATTATATAAAGACTTAAAAACTTTTCCACATATACACTAGTCACGCCTTAAAAGTCTCCATCGATGGAGCCTTCGTATCATCAATGAATTGCTCAGATGCTTTCCTTCAAAACTAAATCATTGGCATATTACAACCACTTTAAAAATCAAAACAGAAAGGCTAAAAAAAGATGATGTCATAAGCGAAAATCCTAAATGTACTACAAAAAGTGTTTATGAAGTCAATACTCAATTTATTTTGCTTAGTTTAATCTTGATGCGTTATCATCTTGAAATATAATCAGCATATGTCAGATTAAAATGTGGGCTCACACTGCCTCAACCACTGCCGAGTGATGAGGGTGTTATCTGCAATTTACCCTTATAATATTTCTATTATTGTTATTAGGGTTTTTCTTCCAAGAACCCACTTTAAAATAGGATCATTTTATAGAAACACATTTTGAATACATAAACCACCTTTAAACAATTTTTTGCTGCAATCAACCAACTGAGCCCACTTTTCAGTTAAGCTTTTTTCGGAAATTGACCACACCTAACCTCTATTAAGGATCATATCTCTAATATATATACTTGGTATTTGACAACTAATCATTACATAAACACGGAAGAAATGTGACTTAAAAGTGAATCCAAGTGGTTTCATTGCAACAAAAAACCGTTTTAAGGTGATTTATGTATAAATTGACAATCAAATGTGGTTTTTAGAGAATGACCCTAATTTAAGGTGGTTTCTGGGGAAAAAAAACTCCTGTTATTATTTATCATTTTTGTTCAGAATTAATGACTGCAGCATTTTTCTACCTAATCATCCCAATTAGTGTCATGGTTTTATTAGAAATTTAGAACCATGATTCACAAGTTACATCATCGCCCAACTTTGATGTTGCTTAAATGCAAAATACAACAAGCTATTTGATAATTATTCGATCAATTTCCAGAAAAAAAACTTAAAGACTAGAGTTTTATCTTTTTTACCTAAAATTCCTGCAGCTTCATGCGGGAATGGCACTAGTTGAGGAATATCTATACATCTAGCCCGAATCTGATATCAATCCAGAACATAAAAATCAAATTACTTACATTAAAAGAACACAAACTTCAGAAAGACTAACCTCTGAACGCAGTCATAATGCAGGTGGAGGTGTAGGTGGTGTATGCATTGCAGAAAGCACGAAAAGGAAGTGATTTCAAATGACAATATAGAAAAGATTTTCAGACTTTCTCCACACCAACACTTGTCACACCTTAAAGTTTTCCAATCATTGAGCCATGGTACCATCATCAATGAATTGTCTATGCGATCTCCTTCAAAACCGGATCATTGTCAGATTATTACACCTGCAGTAAACATAAAAGCAGAAATGCTAAAATTGATGATGCTCTCATAAGAAGTGAAATGCTAATTGTACCACAAAAATTGTTCACAGGCAACTACTCGATTTTCATTTGCTTGTTATCAATTTGAAATATAATAAGGTAACGTCAGATAAATATGTAGGCTCAGACTAGATATAATCACGATCGTCGTTATCATCATCAACACCGCCGCCGCCACCATCTCCATAATTGATGGGGGGTTATCTGCAACATAAGCATTTAAAAGGGTCCACACAGGACTACTTGATACCAACTTGGAAAACACGTCTCACTAAAAATACCAATCAAGCAATTTAGCCAAATAACGTTATTGTTATTATTATCATTATTGTTCATGAACACAACTAACGAATGACTGCAGCATTTAGCTACCTCGCCATCTCAATTAGCGACACGGTTTATTAGAAATTTAAAACCATGATTTTCGAGTTGCATCATTGCCTAACTTTAATGTTGCTTTATATTTACTCAAAAAAATAACAAGCTATTTGCTAATTATTCAATCAATTTCGACACAGATCTTCAGATCTAGTGAACAATGTTGTGCAATTTACCTTTCCTTCTTCCATTCCCATTTCTAATGAGCAGCTGTTGCGTGCTGGAGGCATATTTCACCGAGGCAGTGGAGATCATTAGAGTCCCATTGGCCTAGACTCTGGTATCATAGCCTCACCACTATAACACGGAAATAAATTTCACAAAAACTGCCTGGACAACAAAAATTAGAGAAAAACCCCCTAATTTTTGAAGGGTTTCATAAAAAACCCTAGACTATTTGGCAATTAGCTATTTTAAAGACTTTGAATATTCAGTGCTAATAGCAAAGCTCAAGCAGATAACAAAAACATGTGCTGCATCTTTCTTTGTCAAAATTAAAATCCAAGATCAGGAACAAGAATCAAAGAGCCAAAGAATTCAGACTTCACTATTACATGAATCACAAATACATGCAAGGTGAGAATATTTAGTTGGTTTAACATGCTAAAAAAGAACCAGGAACAGGGAAAAAAAATCTTTAAGCATAAAGACATTGAGGCACTTCTTTTAAGAGATTCCTAAGAGTATTTTCATTGAATAGTTATAAAAGATGCATAGAAGGGCATACTTTTGGGCAAGATTTTGAAAAAAAATTAAAAATTAAAATAAAAAACACGAAAAATTCCTCAATGGATTTGGTTCCTAACTTCCGATATACTCAAACAGAATTTAAATAAATAAATAAATAAAGGAGGCAATAGATCAAAAAAAGGAGGCAATAGATCAAAAAAAGGAGGCACTTTTATGGATCCCAGTCAAATAATTCTAATTTACAATCTGATGGACTTCAATATTAGGATCAGTACCACTTGCTCTACTCTTTAGTTCATGTCAGTGAACATATACAGACACTACTCTGAAGAGAACAGATCATCTCAGAACTACTCGAGGGAAGTTCTACGCCACTCTTGGGGGTAGTGAAATCCTCAAATTATCCCTCAATACCCCCATGAATGGTATACAACTACCAGCTTGCATGCTGCTAGTTCTAATAAGAACTGGATTCTACTTTCAATAGTACATAGTCCGACTGAATAGGCCTAATCACAACATTACCTATGATTGTGATATACAAGGAAGCAATTATCGACAATTATGCATGTATTATATATGTGCACTTCTTTAGAGAAAAGTCATATCTGACGACACATGAAAGGATAACATAAAAAATTAATTATTGGTTACACACACACGTATGTTTGAATGTATAAAGAAATATGGGTATGTTTGGTACCGAGAACTAAATTTTGGTGCTTGATAGGGAGATGGCCACTTCTCATCCCCTCATCTAATGAGTGAGTAAAAAAAGTGGGGACAATTTCCAAGTGAACATCTTTAAATATGTGGATGAGAAGTGTCCACCTCACTACTAAGTACCACATCTGTGCTTGCTACCAAGCATACTCATTTATATATATAGGGTAGGCTTTTTTTATTCCCTGGGTATAACCAACTTAGTTATGCCCCATGAAAAATGACATTGTTTACCCCTCTTTTAATAATAAAGCAAGGACGCCTATTGTCATTTGGCAAGCATGCCGTTTAATGAATCTCTTGTAAATCTCATGAGATGTAGCCAAATTCTAATGAAATATAATAGCCTTAATTATATAGTCTTATTGTCCCATACAATCTTAGTTTATTTTAGGGTTATAGAAATGTTGTTGCTATGTAGAACCAACATTTACTACAAGAAATTCCATCTATACCTAATAATTTAAAGCTTTTTAGCTTCACTACGAAGTTAACTTTTATTCCTCATGTCAGTTACATATTTAATGTTTCAATTCAATCAGTAAAATGGATTACAAACAATAAAATAAAACAATGATCACAAAAGAAAATTAATTTCCAAATGGCTAGAGCAACATCTAACTTATTAGCAATCTTTCAAAAGAAATTAACTTTAGATTTAAGAAATACTTAATGTATTAAATATCGAAAATATCGAACATATCGGATGGCCAAAATCCATATCGAATTGCGGAAATCAGGAATACATCGGGGCTATGTAAAAAAATATTGGGATCGCATATCAGATGGTGTTAAAATGTCACATAACATTGTAATATGCAATATAAACATATTTAATGTATTCTAAAATAAGAAATTGCATCACAAATAAGGATATATCATATAACCGATTGTAGAAACTTGCTTCTCGACCACATAATGAAACCTTCCAAGTGCATAACCTTCAAAATAAGAAAACATTGTTAGTCAAATTAGAATATCAAGCAAGTAAACAATACAAAGAATCAAGAATCAACATCGTAATTAAGGTACAATCACAAAACTCACAAATTAACTTGTGATCTAATATTGTCAATATCCATAATAAAATAAAGCAAAGCAAGCACACAACTAAGTTTTAAAAGTTACAAAAAAAGTTCATAATTGTTTATCATATCAATCCAAAATAACACAACCAAAATGAAATAGAAGCAAATATGACTAAAATCATATCTTCTTCAGGATTGAGAGCCGAAATATCGTCCGTGACCGTGCAACTCTTATCCGACCCCGATGAGGACCTCGATGGTGTTTCCCACTCTTCCTCCTCATCTACGACGGGCTCATTTGATCTTGAAGATGATGCCCCTGCCTTTTTCTTTCTTTAATGTGCCTTCATTCTTGCACTCTTTCTCCTCTTTGGATTAGCTCACGAAACCTTTCCGGCTAGAGTCCAAGTTAATTCTTCCCCCGGAAACACTTCATAATTACTTTCTTCACTAACTCAACTTGGAGGGATCACCCAATCTGTGACCCTTTCTTCATCATAATAGGAAAGTAGAGATTCTCTATCCTTGTCGGAATGTTTGTGCTGGAGCTTTGCATTGAACTTGACAAAAACTAAGTCATGCAATTTCTTGGGACTTAATCTATTCCTCTTCTTTGTGTGAATCTACAAAACAAAATCATTAGCACAAAGAAAAAGTTATCTCAAATGTGCTGAATGTGCTCTAACTCCAAGTCTCCAACACATTTATATATTACAATTTCAAATGTACTCCAATTCCTCTCACAGGCTAAAGAGCTAGCTGTCAAGCTCAAAATTCTCATCGCTATCCTACTAAAATCCAGAGTATCATTCCCAAAAAGATACCACCATGTAACTAGTCAATAGAAACAATTTAAAATATTAGAATTTTTATAATAGATGTTTATAAGGAACAATTAAATGGAAAGATAAGTATACCGGGATTACTATCTGCCCTTTTCGCTTGCTTGATGGCAATTGAGCTCCAAGTGACCCTTTTCTATGTTGATAATCATGAAGTTGAAGTCTAATCCTACCAAAAATGTCATCATTATCCCCGTAGAATTTATGCATACATTCCACTACGCTTTGTATGAAGGTTTCCTTCTTTTCAATCTCCGCAAAAGATGGATAGAAGAAGTGGGAATTGAGATAATATCCCGCTTTATGTAGTGGCTCCATAAGCTTGTTCTCACATCTGTTATCAACCACCTTACATATAGGAAGATACTTATTTTCTTCATTACTGATGGCCGCTTTCAACTCCAACTTGGCCACCAAAAGATCTCCGTAGACAAACCCCAAAACCTTCACCAAGGGAGTAAAAACTTTAGGGCAAAATCAACCTTGTCTGTCCCGGAACTTGTTGCTTGCAATAATTTCAGCAACCTACAAATAAAAAACAACAAAATAATGCAATAATGTTAGCAACAAAAATAAAATATTTACCACTTAAATACTAAATAACGACAAATTTGAAACATTTATACCTTTTTACATGGTCCCATTGATAATAGACTACAGTCCATCCACTTGTCACAAATGAACATCTGCCTCATCTACTTTTTCTTATCCCTCAGACTGCAAAGAAAGAAACGATGTAGCAAATCTCGTTGCCCCGAGTCTCAATATTTCTCCATTTGTAAACTCACATAGCAATTGAAGAGACTTAGTGTGACTGTAGATGTACACTAATACAGTTCTTCCCATCAGAATTGCACTCTGAACTGGCTTGATTCTAGCTATGTCACGAAACATCAAATTCACACAGTGTGCTGCACAAGTTGTCCAAAAGATAATCGGCCTTGTCTGTGTCAATCTTGTAGAGGCCGCCATGTTATTTGAAGCTCCATCTGTGACAATTTGCACCATATTTTCCGACCCTAACTCAACAATTGCCTTTTCCAAAAACAAAAATATAAAGTTCCCGTCATGCTTATCAGCTGATGTGTCTCCTGGAGTTAAAAATATTGCCCCTCCATTAGAATGCCAAACTATATTCATTAGGCTCGTTCACTTCCGATCGCTCCAAGCATCAGTCAATATAAAACACCCGTTGACCGCACAATTCTTTTTGAAGTTCTCAACCATCACTTTTGTTTCATTCATCTCTCTTTGCAAAAGGGGCGCTCTCAACTCATATTACAATGGAGCATGCATACAAGGTCCAAACTGTCCAATAGCATACACCATTTGTTGGAAAGAGGTAAGTGTTGCGATATTGAAAGAGATGCTGGCGTCATAGAACCATTTCCCTATATACTTGTTTGCATCCTCTCTTGCCTTCTTTCTACTCTTTTTGAGTCAATTGCCGATTGTTCTCCCTTTGCTAGCAAGGTGGTGGTCTCCTTGGGGAAGCGACATGCAAAAGAGTCCATTGACCTTTTTTGTCTTCAATGAAGATTGACCTTTTTGTCTTCAATGAAGAAGATGAGCTTCTAGTTCTAAGTGATGGATTCTCATTCTCTTCATCTTCCTCCCCAACATGCACATCACTTAATAAGGTATTCGATCTTATCTCCTTTTCATCCTTCTCTTTTTCTGCGTCCTTTAACATCGCAAGAACTTTTTTTCTTCACATCCTTAGGAACCTTGTCACAAGCCTTACAATTCCCTCTTTTCCCCGCCAAATGAGCCTTGAGCTAGCTTATCTCTCCACTGAAGGATTGCAAGCAAAATTTGCATCACACCTTCCCGGTGTCAGAACCAACTCTCTCCATATTGCCAACAATGGTCTTTACCACCAGGTTTCTTAGCACTAGATTCCTTGACCTTCGGATGACATCTTCCTATTATCACCTACACATTCAACAAACATGGACTTTAGTGTTTTAGATAAGCAAAATATACCAATGAGGCAGCCACAAAAACAATTTTGAGGGAAAAACATAAAACAACTACAATGTCATATCATTAGATTCTAATATTCATAACACACTAAATTTAAGTTTAAAAACATCAATCTATAATTAATACAAACCAGATAATTTCAATCCAAATATTCAATTTAAAACCACATTAATTTCAGACAGATTATACAAATCAAAATTAATTAAACTGCTCAAACCTGAAGCTTCTTATTAAAAGGTTGGAAATATAATTTAACTTGCTTTTCTATTATTTAATTTCAGTCCAAATTGACCAGTTTTTATTGGTGGTTTTGTGTTTGATTCAGGGCACTGTTTGAACAGTAAATTCAAGCCAATTAATTGAATACATTCTTCAATTTCAGTCAAAACATTAATACATATTTCAGCTTTAGTCCTCCATTTTTATTGCAATTTAATTACTTCAACTTTACTCCAAAATTGAATTTCAGTCCATAACTTTAGTCCAAATAATCAAATTTAAATCCAAAAATAATTTTAGTCAGAAATGTCATATAATATAAATCAAAACCAAATAAAACCAGTCCTTGCATTCAAGTTACCTTCACCTCAGAGATTTCTCCTCTTTATTCACCTTCTTCCTTCAATTTCTAATAAAAATAACCTGAAAGCGAGAGTTGAGAGATATTAGGGGCCTAGGGCAGAGAGGGAGCTTTGAAGAGAGTGGAAGAAAGAGAGACGCTTCGGAGCTGGGGGAGAAACACAAGCTGTGTTAAGTAATATACGAATCAGATAAGTCGCAGGTCCGTTTGTAGCCCAGCGATTAGGTTAATTGCCTTATAACTAAGAGGCTAAGGTTTGAATCCTAGCAAGTGCAATATATTGTTATTCATAATTTTTCTTAAAATGAACATCCAGATATCTGAACCGTACCCGCTAGTTGAACCCGATTACCGTACCTAGAACCGTATCCAAGAAAAAAAAGGAAAACCATATCCAAAACTAAAACCATATCCGATCGGTTTCAAATTTTGGCTACCTCATCCGCATCATTGTCGGATACGGTTGCGGTCAGTTTCGATATATCCGAACTGTTTAACACCCCTACTAAGAACCATTTCATGGGCCAATACTTGGAATCAGTATAGCTATATCTTTTTTTCTCTTTGATCCGTTTTAGAAATTTAGGGCTACCAAGATTCAAATCTTGGTTATTCTGCCATCATATCAAAGGTCCCTACCACTAAATCGGTACTCCTAAGTTTTTCTGAGGTTTGAGGGTTATAATTTTACAATTTAACACTCCTGATGCAAATCCCCTAAACAGATACCATAGGAAAATCCTTGATGAATTTGGTTCCTGACTTCCCAAAAACTGAAGTAGAAGAAAATAAAATAAAACAAAGGAGAAACAAGAGGCAATAGATAAATAGAGAAGGCTTTTTTATGGATCCAACTTAAACACTTCAACAAACTAAAATAGAATAAAATTAAAAAGGAAGGGAAAAAAAGGAAGGCAATAGGTAAATAAAAAATGCTCTTTTAGAAAAAAGTCAAACAATCATAATTGATCATCTAATCATCTTCCATAATCCCGTCAGCATTACCACTTGCTGTACTACTTTGAAGCTTACGTTGTGTGAGAGAACAGTACTAACCACACATTACTACATTAGCTACACTTATGTTCTACAAGGGAGTAATATTAAGGCACATTTCGATGATTATGCAAGTATCTTCAGCTAAATAGCACTTATATACCCTATTGTTTCACTACTTTTCACTTATATACCCCAACTCGTATTTGGTAGCGAAAAAAATATCCTAGAGAAATTTAAACTTGCACTTATATACCCTCCACTTTTTTTGGCGACACTTAAATACTCCAAAGTTTTTATAACTAGCACTTAAATACCCTAAAGTTTTTACAAATTGCACATAAATATGCTCAGTTATGCAAGCTTGAGGGTATTTAAATGCAAGTTTTAAAAACTTTAGGGTATTCCGGTATTTAAGTGCTAGATTTAAAAAATTTAGGATATAAGTGCAAGTTTTAATAACTTTAGGGTATATATAAGTGCTACCAAAAACAAGTAAGGGTATAAAAGTGCAAGTCTGAACAACTTATGGTATTTTCTTGCTACCAAATACAAGTGCGTGTATACAAGTGAAATAGGTGAAACAAGAAGATATATAAGTGCTATTTAGCCGGTATCTTCTATATGACTATATGCACGTGGATAGACAAAAGACATATTTGAAGACATAAAAGGATTATCATAATAAAAACTCTCATTGAATAATATCTATAAATCTGGCAGAAAGCTGATACTTATTCAAAAAAATGAAAATCAAACTAATTACTACTATTAAAAGAACATAAACTTCAA